GGTGGTGGTGGTGGTGGTGGTGGTGGTGGTGGTGGTGGTGGTGGTGGTGGTGGTGGTGGTGGTGGTGGTGGTGGTGGTAATGACGATAGAAAGATGACAAACAAGATTAAGGACTTACCCTTCCGGTGGCGCTGTCAACCAAAGCAGATGGCTCCTTCAATTTGGCATGAAGAAAGACGCGTGTGGATTTAGGCTGTTTTGGTAGCAAGGACCTGGGTATATGGGCATCAGGCAAATGGTTTTGAGGATTCTAAATTGGCTTAAAGCTATTGGTTAGTTTATGCTTTTGAAGGTCGATTGCAACTAAGTTGGTATGCGAAACTCTTAGTAGCCTGGAAGCCACCGCATTGGTTGTTTATGTGGATTTAAAGAGCACGATCACAATGGGGAAAATTTTAGCTGGAAATCTAATCGAGACAAACGGTGTCACGTAATATTTTGCACTCAAGACGGTCTAAGTAGAAATGACACGAAGCATTACCTGTGCGAAAAGCCAAAATGATGTCGCGCACATTCAGAATATGCTAAGACGTCGATAAGTCAGGACGCGACATAGAATGCTCCAAGATTGCAAATTCACGAATCGTTAGATAATTGACAGATTCAGGAGTTTAATTTGTACATATCATTAAAGGTGGGGTTAAAAATTATAAGTAAAGTGTTCTAAAAATTTTCCCCTTAAAACTTAAGACTGTAATAACACCTTCTTCGTCACTGTACGTACCTCCGAATCTTATTGGCTGACAGCTTTCATGACACATATATCTAGCTTAGTCATGACATCCAATTCACAACACGTTTGAGCAGTTTGCTAATATCAAGTTATCATGTTGTGTGTAGAATACCCGAGCCCTGGTATGAAGAAGACTGGTACAACAGAAAAGGCTTTATTGACCAATCACAAGCCAGAACCACACGTCAGGCAACGTCCATCCGAGTCCACCACGCTGGCTACATCGCTCATTGCATACTGCTTCTATAGGTGTCTGTCTCTGCTTGGCTGCATATCTTCCTCGCATGCCATTCTAACATAAATAGACCGAGGATTGGCTGAGGCTGGCGTGGTCCTATATGTCTGCGCCCTTATGCGTCACTACATGTGGCAAAGATTTTGGATGGCACTAAAAAAGCTAACTAAAGATTAGTCTTGGACTCCTTAGGCGTTTAAAGTATCGTTTGCACGGATTATGAATGGATTCTGGACTGCTCCATCATTAAGATATGGGAAATTACCAAATAATGACTGTTTTTTGCGTTTTATTTGATCAAAATTGCGTAGCGACGAATAAGGACGCAGACGTATTAGACTGCGCCACCCTCAGCCAATCCTCTGGCTCTGCGAGCAATATATGCAGCCAATCAGAGACGGACACGTATGCGAAACAGTATATGACGCGCGGCACAGCCCGCGTGGTGGCGCATGTTTCTGCCTTGTGATTGGTGAATTAACCCTGTCCTATTGTACCACTATTCTTCATACCACGGCGATGCGGTGGAACCTTGGTACTTCACTAAATGTACTTAATCAACATTGGCAACTTTAAGTCGTTAGTTTGAATAAACAAAATGACGAAACACAGATTGCAAGATTTCCGGAATTTGACATGAATTTTGCAAATAAATTTAAAAGTGTGATACACTACAGCAGTATCACACCCACTCGGTGTCTTAACCCAAAAAATGCGCCTAATGGGCAAATGTGTACAGTAAAACAAAAAGCGGCAAATCACAATAACTTAATAAATCTGAAAAATCCTATGTTGTCTGAAATCGAAGCTAAGCCAAAGCAATAATAGCTAGCCAAAAAACGACAATCTACCGCAGTTAACACCGGTATTTCCTACTACGAAAGCTGAACTTCTCTGGCGGTGACGTGGAATTTCTTGGTATTATTTACAATTAGGCTCTGAATACCAAACAGACCATAATTGATGAATGCAGTGCACATCTGGAAAGATCGGACATCAAGGATTTCATTGGAAAGGTCTTAAATGGCAGATCAGATAGACCGAGACCCTTTCAACTGCTACAACTTGACTCGTCTAACCTCGAAAGGGAGTAGGGAAATCGGCTGCGTTGATTGGAGAATAGTTTCGACAATGGCGAGTTTCGATTGGACGATTCGTGTTAAAAGACTAGCCAATCATCTTACCCCTGCAGTCCTGCATGTCGGCGTTGGACTCGCTGTAGTGGCGCATCAACCGCTCCAACACAGAGCGGTACTGGAGCAGTCGATGCATGGGCTTCAGGAGGAAGGCGTAGAAGGGCAGGTAGCAAGACTTTTCACTCTCAAAGGACTGAATCTTGCGCTCAAACGACACCCGCGTTCGCACCAGACGTTCAAGGTCCAGAATCAGACTCTCAGTCTCCGTGAGATAGGACCGATAGAGCTACAAACACGAAGGAAGGGGTCAGTTGAAGAATATCAGCATCGAAGAGCACAAAATCGAAAGCATTCAGCCACCTCCGACCAAATGTAGGCAAACATGGCGCATCTCCGCATTGTCACAGTAATCCAGCAGTGAGAAAGGTATTTGCTTTTGAAATATCTCGTTTTAAAACAGAAACGAGAGATGTCAAGAATTCACACAACGTAAGCAACATTTGTCAAACTCCAACAGTCGACGTGTTTTGGACGCAAATAGCATGAAGTAGTCCTTGAGAGATTGACCCCCAACTCATGTCTACTTTCAGAAACTGCCAGGCCAGTTTTTTAAACTCCCGCATGCTGGCTAATGACAAAAGATGTGATAGAAACCAGACCTGGAGCATTTTGAGGTTGGTGACAAACAGATCGCCCACGCGAATCGGCGCCGCAGAGTCGGCATCGAGATGGTTGATGTCGCTTCCGTGGGACACGGATCTTCCCGACGCTGAGGTGTGTCGACCGTTCTTCAAAGCCCCCTCTAGACGTGTGGACCAAGTTGCGAAGCGCGATTCCAGATCTTGCAGGAAGTCGACAGCCTGCGCTCGAACGGCGCCGAGAAGCGAGAAGAGCTTTGAGAGGATGGTTTCCACTGCTGGCGAGTCCTTGCGCTCGTCGGCTATGGCTTCGCTGAAACCCTGAAAACGGACGGTCAATCGAGTTAGATCATGGAGAGACAAAGCAGAGCAAAAGCAGGCACGGGGTGGAGCAAATGGAAGGACACCTACCTCGGTGACGACGTCGAGGTCCTTCTTGTAGGTCCGCTCTGTCATCGTCAGCTCCCGAAGCAGATGGAACGCAACGCTGGCTGGAGCCTTGGGCTACAAAGTCATGAAAATGAAGTACAGCGACTGAGTTCGTGATTTGCATCGCACCGAAACAAAATAGACACCCACCAAGCTCCGTGAACTCCCGGACACCGAACTCCTTCGAGAGGAGCGTGATGACCGATCGTCTTTCCGGGACTTAGACAAGGGCGAGGAGGATGTTAGCAAGCTTTGGTCGACGGCTGACTGGCAGCGTGAGGACGACGGTGAAGAGGCGCCTTTGTTGACAAGCGTCACCATGTCGTCCTGGGTTGTGTTGGCGGCGTCGTCCGATCGATCGGTCTTGACAACAGGTCGATGGAGGCTGGCACTGCGGGAGGTTGGCGAGGGGTGACGATACACTTCACGACGCGTCTCCTCTGCAGTCTAAATTATACAAACACAAGGAATTTTCGGTTAAAAATGAAATTCCACCTTAGCACCACTAATGCTTTCGAGGATCCTGAAGTGGCTCAAAGCTATTAGTTGATTTACTCTTTCGAAGGTCAATTGCACAAAGCGGATAAAATCCAAGGTCAGAACGGGATGAATGATTGGTGATATCGTGTGAACAACCGTTTTGATCATCTTGGTGCAAACGTTTTTCTTTGAAAATTCACCATTTAAAACGAAAAATACCAGCAAAACACGCGTAGATTGTAAACATCGGAGACAGTCGGCGTAGCAATCCCGAATTCCGACATCAAACAGAATGCGATAAGTCTGCGAAATTAAGCAGAATGCGAAACTTTCCCAATGAACGACAGCTTCGTTATACTTACCTTCACGCTACTTAAAATTTGATGAAAATTTGAGAAAATTGACAATGTCTTAGAAACACAAATGACGAGGTCAGGTAAAAGTTACGTGTTCAGAGGAGAAGTACATGGCAGAAATATTTATGAAAACGGTGGTGGAAGGAATAAACTTGAACATGGAATCGCGTTAACAACGTCTTTCTCGTACTTTTGACTGCCTGGAACATTACCTGTTTGTAACCACACGAAAGTCGAGACCATGTCAATGAATTTGCTGGAATAGGAACACGGGTTCAAGCAATGCCATTCACGACTGAATCCGGCCCATTCAATAGTCTGTGTCTTCTCAATGCACAACTCCCAAGTCGGGAATCAAAGCATCCAAGAACACGGTGTATGCTTACCTCATCGTCGGTGGGAACAAGGCTCTGGCAACTCCAATGCGTGCTTCGCGCAGCCAGACTCAGACACGACGCCTGCAACGACCGACGACACGCCAGGTCGGTCTCGGCGGGTATGATGTTGAAGGGATAGGGGTGGGCGGGATTAGGCTCGGGCAGCGGCGGTGTGGGAGGCAGTGTGAAGTCCCTTCCGGCGTTGGCGTCGTCGTTTCCAATTTTGGCCAAATCGCCAGACGGACGCGAAAGCGACGCCGACTTCGACGTCACCCCAGAGTCCAGAGTGCTGCACGAGAGTTGGCGTTCACGCGGCTGCACGCTGTCTCTTCGCTATCAACGAGCACAGCAGAAGGCACAAAATGGTTAAAATCATCCAATGACTGGTGCGTAAATGCACCGTTTTAATTAGACATCTGTTGGGGATCCGGCGTTCCCCAAGACGACTCATCGTGGGTTAGGATTTCGTCATTGTTTACACAAATCCCCTTACCACGCCACTCCAAGTGGGTGAGTCACCCACAGCACCCTACTGACAGCTTCATCCATCTGGTCAAGGTCATCCTTGGATTATACAGATGGATCCATTCAGACAGATTACCTGGCCTCTGACGTGGGAGGGTGGAGTAACAAGCGTCTGATAATGGACCTGGGTACCGGTTATCTGAGTGTGTGGTATTTGTTACGGGCAAAATGTGAAAACACCTCACTAGGTGGGAGTTTAAGCGGAAAAATGAAGAGAGATGACAACGCAGAATTACCTCAGGAGCGGGAGGCGGTGGCCCATGAGGTCGGGATCGAACGAGGAGAGGGACGTTTGTGGTGCTGGTGGATGCGGTGTCCTGGGAGGAGTTGCTAACACCCTCGCCTGGCACAGCAGCTCCGCATGGTCCACCAACAGGGGACGTGGCCACCGTTGGGGTCTGGGAAGGCGGCGCCGAGCTGAATCCGCCGCCAGCGACGTTTGTGGGCCTCGGAACTGCCACCAACTGACTGTCGGAGATGAGCTAACCGAAAAGATAAGCAGTCCTGAGTGTACATGGATAGCACAATGCACTGTTGTAACTCGCGTTTATACACACTCCTTAATCCGATCGCTCCACCTCCGACACAGGGTTCCTCTTTTCGCAGCATGCTGCCAGCCGAGCGGATCCTCAACGGATACTTATCTTGGATTATCCTCACACTTAGATCTCGATGTTGGCGCATCTATGAGTGTGTATAAATACACACGCGCAAACCCCACACACGACACAACGACACCAATTTTGATTGAGCTCTAAAGCAGACGCTTGTGTCCACATCATCTCCCGTCTTTACTTCATCGAGGGTATCAGGGAAGCGTAATCGGGCCAAGGTTAATTCCGTGGCCCCGGCGTGGTTCAAGACCACATGGTGGGGCTCACAACAACACCAACGCAATGAACACGTAGGTCGTATGTTGGGAGAACTGTCTTCTTGGCAAAAAGGTGTTCTGGCAGACACTCGAAACAGATTAGATTTTAAGACTACCTCAGCTGTCTTTAAGAGCAGCGTAGCACCACATCGTGCTTACTGTTTACGTTTTTGCCAAAGTTCCCTTTCACAATTTAAGGCCCAATGCGTGCAGCTTGCTACAGAGGCGTCCTGATGAGATGTAACCACGTAAAAACGCATGCACACGCCTGGCGAAATCGTTACACTATAAGCGTCACGATGTTGATAAGAGAACATTCACTTGACTACCGTTCGTGTGTGCCTTGAGGATTTTTAAAGGCTTACCTAAATTCGTTCCTTCTGACAATCCGCCTAAGTCGCAAAATAGGTTTTCTAAATTCTTAATGAGGTGGTAAATATTTTATGAAAGAATGCGGTTAAACCAAAAGGAAAAACGACTCCTGGAATCCCTTAATTGTTCGACAACACTGCAATGGCAGTCTTTTTTTTAGTGTCGATGCTACCAGCATCCATGACTAATATTGGTGGTGGTGGTGGTGGTAATGACGATAGAAAGATGACAAACAAGATTAAGGACTTACCCTTCCGGTGGCGCTGTCAACGTACACGACCCTTCCAGAAATGGGTCGTTGAGCGGAAGGAATCACAGTGCAAGCTGTCGAAAGACCAGTCTGCGAGGCCGTCAGAATGTTGGGCGAAACAACCCTGGCAGTTGGCAGGTGACCAAGCGTTCGTGAGTACAGACTGCCAGCATCAGTTATGCCCAATGGGGTGCCGTTGCGTGAAGCCGGGGCTGCCATCATTACAGACGTCTGGAGTGTCGAGTAGCCAGGATCTGGAATGAGTTCCCAAAAAGGCCTTGTTCCCAAGATTTCATTGCATTGATTTATTTACATCACACTAAGACCTCATCAAATTTGTCTCTGTTCAACGCCCGGTGTCCATGGGATAGTGGCAAAGCAATGCAAAACATTTTGACACCGGATAGGATATCCGCGCTTTGAAAAATGGAAATCGTTCTGCCACGTAAGTTTGATGATCTTACAGCACGGTTTAGACACCAATTAAAACTCATCCAAGTTTAGATGCGATTTGTGTTATCCCAAAAATCGGTTACTAGGACCTCAAAATGGAGCTTACATCCTTCAAATTCGAATACTTAGCAGTAATTATCCTATTTAAGTTGTTACTAGAACGTCCGGACACTGATTGGTCACATTGATAGAACTTTGACTACGTCTTAGATGATGAATGTGATCTCTAAGTTCACAAAAATCCTTGCTTTTGTAGCAGTGAACCAAACAGAGCACATAAGTTGGGCTGACAGCCAATGAAAAGGCTGCAGATGGCAAGAAAAAAAGGCATTTTGATAAACGAACGCGGATTAGGATTCGTGGCTACCAAAACCGCGCAACTCAGCCCTGAGATTTGCGAGAGTGTGTGTGTGTGTAAAAAAGCCGGGAAGCGAGACTGCAGAGCTTTTTGTAATCAAGCGGAGAGACTCCGCCGAAGGACACTCGGGAAGCAATTAAATTAACCAGTGCCTTGGGAATTCGAGGCGTTAGTAGACAAAATAGCTGGCGAAAAGCCAGACCTAACTGCATCTCAGCTGCCTTAATCTGTAAGCGACACGCAGATAAGGCTGTTTTTGCAAAATTTCTGTTTAAAAGGACGAATGAAGAGGTGGCATGGGCCGAATATGTGAAGTAGATTGTACATGTGAAGTGAAACGGCTGAGATCTTCCCGAGTTTCAACGGAAAATTTATGGCGAATTATGATATTTAAAAATATCGCTTAAATTGTGCTTCTAGAGCACTTGAACTGCTGGATTTGGAAGGTCAAGGGAGGTATGGAAATGATATGACAAAGTCGGTTAGGATGGTGCGAAGAAGAAAGTACTGATTCTAGAGAAGTCAGCTTCCTGAGTTCTCCTCAAATCTGGTTCAGTATTTTCACAGAAATTTAGACTATGCATACAAGTGCATGTGGGTACGTGGTTTCGGAGGTTTGAAAGGTTGCTTTTCACACGACACCTCGTACACTGACCTCACGCCATTTCGGTAACTTGAGGTGACATTTTAAGGATATCCAAACCAGCACCAATAAAACTAGGTACTGTTGAGCCAGTGCACTAACGCAGACCTCTTAAGAGTTCATTGATCTGAATGGCGGTCAACTAGAAGGAAGTTAGCAATGCTGAGGCTGAGTCATGACTGATGCGACATGATCCTTAAATAAATCCGTTCTTATCCAACAGCATCGTCACTAAGGAGAGTGTCTTTGAAAAAGAACACTTTCGGTTAGTACATCATGGAAGCAATAAACCAAAAAAGAACATTGTACTGCTTGTCGGTTGGTTTCTGTCAGCACATCTACGGTGAATCGGGAGATAATTTTGATGAATTTTGAGGAATTTTTACGCCTTTTATTGTTTCAGTCAACTCGGAGACGCTAAGACCAATATTCACCTGCACGGAAGCCGGATAAAACAGCTTTAGGAAGACGTGACTTGCTGGCATTTCGAATTCTGGAACGCCGCCCACTACCGAACATAAATGCCTCGAACAGGGTGGCTTCCCAGTGGCGATTTGTGACGGGCGGGAAAACCGTATGAAGAGGAGGAGATTGAGCACTTGGCACCTAGATCTCACGATGTTGTACAGAGATCACGCTGAACCAGTTCCATTCACAGACCTTTTCATCACGTTCAAAAAACCCTCCAAGCGGATTTTCACGTCCAATTTAATAACTTTGTCTGTTGGAGTCAGCAGATAAGGGATTTTTTGATGAAACGGGTCAACTTAATTTGTGTGCCTTGGTTATTTTTCAAGAGAAGTATGAACTGAAACGACGTCTCGAGCCATTACAATCACCAGTGTGTCGTCAAATATTCCGAATCATTACATTTCCCTTACACCACATCCTAGTTAGACAACAGGGTCATACATTGTTGGTTTTATCTACCAGTTTGTCACAAATTGAGACTGTGGGCGTAAAGTTTGATTTTTTTTCAAGTGTGATCGCAAGTGATGTGCTGACATAGCTGGTACCTTTACCGTTAACCGGTGAAAACGCGCGTTTTTGCTGTTGAATAGCCGAGAGCCAAGCCGTCTGCTGTTGTTGGTGCTGGTCTGAGCTCGTGGTGGGCAGCATGACTAGGAAGCTTCCAGTAGGCGGAGCTGGGGCGGCCGTCGCCATGGTTCCGCCAATCGATCCGTCTGGCCGCCGTTGCATCACCAGCATCACTCGCTGGGGGCACCGGAGGGAGCCCCCCGTGGGGAGTTGGACGTAGGAGGCGGGGAGCGGCGCAGGTGGGGGCTCGTCCAGTGCCCCCGCCACGGGCAGACTGCGCGCCGACAATGCCTGCAGGTGGTGGTGGTGGTTTGAGTCGCAGGTTATCGATCCGGCCGAGAGAATACTCTGCTGGGAGGGGTTGGCCGAATAGACGGCGGTCCCGCATGGCGACCGATGCGAGGGCACTGTTGTTGCGTTACGGACGCGTCCTGTTGATGCGGAACTGAAAATAGCGAAAGGTTACACCGCGATTTCAACCAGGTAACGACTAAAAACCGGACGTAAGGTGAGTTTGAGGGTAAAGGAACGCGTTCGCAGACCTAGGGCTACACTGGCATTGACTTTTTAAAGAGAGCCCAGATGTTGTCCGGTTTTGACTTCGACAACATACGATGCCTTTTGGCAACGTGCCAACTTTGTTTACGGAGAAGTAGTGATGTCGAATATTTCAATTTAACGAGAGGGACTTCGAAAACGGAGATTTTCACGCCAAAGCAGTAAAAATTGCTAGTATTTAATAAGCCGCTTTTCAGGCTGGTATGTATGTCGCAGCTGCGTAATTGCTCCCAAATGCGTAATATCCAGGTCTGCTTGAAGCATTATCATAATTAGAGCAACACATGCTCTGGGGAGAAATCCCTAATCATAGAGACTAGCCAACTCAGGGTTCAACGTGGCTCTTGAGTACTGAAGCCACCCAATTGAAAAACACCATCGATTAGTATGAGACTGCCACTGACAGGACAACCTTGACGTCACCTGGGTAATGTGTGCCAAATAAACATTCGGATAGGCACCTAGCCAATGAAAGTTGACCACTTTCTACCCCAATAACCTGAAACGAGAGTAGAGGGGAAATTTTGTGATCTAATATTTTCGAAATTTCGGAAATCGGATGGTGTAAAAATGTGCAAGAGAGGGAAGGAGGTCAGGTGTTAAGCAACTTATTCTACGCCATAGACAGAGTTTTTCCCTCTATTTTCAAAAAGATTTCAAGGAATCAATGAAAAGAACGTGGTTGGCGTTGAGTTTTCTCGCAGACTGCACGCAGACAGGACACTGATGGTGGAGCAAGCATTTTGAAGCCAACTAAAATCACACTTGTGTCCGATTAAGCGCGATTATTGTCATGACTTGGAAATAATTACGCTGGATTCGTTGGGAAATCCGGAAAAGCAGACAGTTAGGTGTCTGCCCAAGTAACCCCAGTCTAAATTCATCAAAGACTAGGAACCGAACCGCTAACTTAAACTAACACTCATCATATCACAGTGAAATTCGGGTAAGCTCTAACACGGAGCATAATCTGCTAATTGTCTTCTAATATATTCTACTTTTGTACGATGAAAACAGCACACGAGGAAGTGTACAGAGGCAGATTTCTACAAATGGCGTAAGGCTTCGCGAACTAACACGAACGACTTATCGTAGCTGTTTAGGTATTCTTTAGCTATTACTGCGCACTGTAACGGCTTCACGCTGAGTGAGCGTGGATAACCCACTGGCAGGTGTATATTTCTGTGTAGAAGTAGAGAGATTGACCACCTTTTTCCAAACATGGCATTAGCTTGAATGACCTTTACGAAAACATTCTACCTCCGTTGATGTCTGCTATGAACAGAAATCACACGAATTCGGTATTTTGGCACAACTAGGCGGATCACACCAGAGTGTGCGGGGATTGGTTGAATTTGTTTGAATTGAACTAGGCGCGGAGTGCAACGGTGAATAAGGATAGACGAATAGGGGAAAACTGGGAACAAGGAAGCGCACAGCACTAGCCGATCCGAGGTTTAGTGGACGTGTTTCGTGAAATGTTTCTGCTTTCGATCTGTGCGCCTTCAAGCAAGTTAGAAGTACACTTGTGAATAACGCGATCGATAGGCTGTGGTAATGAAGGTATTGTCGATGACATAGGCAATAACAACCAACTCTCCTTCACGAAATCAGGTAAAGCTCTAGAGAAAATGCATGCACAAAAACTGAGCGACTTTTAACTTGAATATTTCGGCAATGCGAAACGAGCCAAAATCCATCTGAAACTGCGATGGTTGCGTCGTTGGTTGCGAATCGACGAACACACACCGGTGGCAAATGTCTTGTTGTTTTGTTAGCCTAAATGATCATTGTGCAAAATCCGATTCACGCTAACACACAATCAAAGTGATAAACACCAAAATCCACCGCGCTTTTAAAACCGATCAACAATTTTCCGATCGAATTTTCCCAACTACAGCTCTCTAAATCGACACGGTATTTTGATATGTGATTTGGATTTTGTCTTAGCATGTCTTGTCAAAGGATGGCTTCGTTCAGACAAAACCTGTGTGGCGTAAGGAATGCGAAACTGGTTTGTATGGTTGTGATTGCTTGTGCGATGCCACATGCGTGCAGATAATGAATTTCGCCAGATCTAACCAAACAGTCCCGATTCCAAGATAATCGTCAATGATTCTGGTGAGGTTACGAAGGTTTGTAGAAGTAAACGACTTGTGGTGTTTATGCTAAGGTCCACGTGTTGCTCTTAACAATCTGCAATCGAACTTTTAGACAAGTCGCAAATAACCACGAAACATTTTAAAAGTTCCGCATAAGTTATGTCAGCGCAGGCTTAATCTAGTTTTGCATAAATTGCGAATTTATCTCAAGTAGATCTACAACTTGCACAATTTATACAAAGGCATTTAAAAAGACAGGCTTTATGAAAAGACGCTATATTTTCTTTGTGTCATTGAGGTTGTGGAAAAAGAAGAGCCTTTGTTTTCCAACCACAAACAGAATAATGCCGGTTTCTCGTGCTACAAATTTTAAAATGGAATCCATTGTCTTCCTCAGCAGGCTGTTTGAGTTAGGCACTTACTTCGAAGACGTCACAAAACAGTAAATTTAAACAAAGGATTGTTTCTGGAGGTGGCAACTTTGAAATCACCCCCAGAAACTACCGGGGCCGTAAGTTAAAGAGAAAGCGACTTTAGTTTGGAAATGTTATTATTTAAACATTCGGCATCCTGCCTCATTCTTTGTACGTATTAGAACCGGTATGACTTGGCAGAAATCTGAACCAATAACAATGTTAGTTCATCATCATTGGTGGAAGCTGCACCAATGCGACGTCAGGTGACCAGCATTGGTCAAAATTGAACCAATGCGATGTCTGGTCACTATCATTGGATGAAAATTATACCTCTCATAGGGAATCGCAAACTTTTCAATAATTGACGGTTTGAGTGGTAAAGGTCAGAGATATTGTGGCAGAGGGGTGGGACATCCCTTCTCACCTCAGGTTTCGCATCCACAGTGAGTACTTGTTCCAAACAGAGGACGATTTCTTTGTGTTCTAAATGCATGTCGCAAATATGGGATTGTCGAATTTATTTGAATTCATCTGGTACCAAGCCTGTGTATGGATTCAAGGCATTTCATGTGACTTCCGACTGCCGTGTCAGCATGATACTTCAAACAGCTTCTCCACAGTACTTCGCACAAATACCTGACTACAATTTGTTGGTCATTATTGTTGTGAATCGTGTTTATTCACACCCCTTAATCCGGTCGCTCCACCCCCGACACAGGGTTCTCCGAAGCATGTCGCCATCCGCGCGAAGCCTCAACTCCCCCTTCATTCACCTTGGATTATCCTCACACCTAGGTCTCGATGTCAGCGCATGTATGACTCACATCCGAGGTATAAATAGACACGCGTAAACCCCACACGCTTGAAGCAAACGCTTGTGTCCACGTCCTCTCCGCTCTTTTTCTTCATCGGGGGTATCCGGGAGCGTAATCGGGCCAGAGTTAATTCCGTGGCCGTGTCGTGGTTCAAGATCACATGCTGACCAGACCATAATTGGCCTTATTTGAGTGAGAAACCTCCAGAACGTGCGTCTGGTGCAGCACTAGGGATCACAGACTCCACCTGACTGCATTCGGTGACAAAATTATCCCTAAACAAGCACCCACAAACGCATTTACGCTAAATTGGTTTAAAATGCAAGTTTATATTAGTATCGACCAAATGCCAGGAGTAAAAACCAAACAGATTCGACATGAAGCGTTCATAAGCAAAATTACTCTAACACTAGACGAGTGAACAGCTCAGTAAGTTTAGACGCTGTCTTAGCATGTTACAGCAGAATACAGTGGATGTGGATGCTTACCTGTGAGCAGCACCCTTGGAAGTCTTGCATTTGCTGGATGATTTGGCAGTCTGACATCGGAAGAAGGCGTGGTGCTCGATGCACTGCTTCCAGAAGCTCTTGCACTCGTTCCGCGACTCAAAGCAGAACTCCACCGCGTCCTGAAAAAAAAACATTGAATGCTTCGTCAAAGCAACTTCATCAAGACGATGGACGCCTCAGTGGGGGCGTTTAGTGATTTCTGGCAAGTGCATCCCTTTGACATGTCACAGTTCTTTTTTGGAGTTTCCAAAACATGTCCTTGGAAAAGGTGGTTTTGTAAGGCACGATTTTGAGAGAAACGGTGAAACATGCGTTGGAGCTGGACGCCAGAAAGGCTACACTTAAATGAGCGATCAGGTATAGGAGAATTGCAAATTTCCTTGTTATAATACGACACGATTTCCGGTAGTCTAGGGAAACACCCGCCAAAAAGACGCTTTTTAACAGTTAAAGGTCAGTCGTCCTGTATCTAAATTTCCTTTCGTAAGACAAAAAAAAACCAACAAGGAAAGAGTGTGCCGGTGGAGCTGAAGCGGAATTTGTTCTGTGTGAAAATTAAGGTTCTATCTCGTGCTTTCGTAGCGGCCCGAATGTTGTCCATGACAACCGACTTAATGATGTCTGCGACCAAATACAGCAAGCGACAAAGACACAACTCACGTAGCCTTCAGGATGGAGTTTGATCAGGAACTTCTTCCGCTTGAAGCTGAGTTTTCGTATTCGCGCCCACGAGAAGGTGTTGACCTTGGCGACACCTTGGAAGACGAAGAGGCCCGCGTGAGAAACAGCCAGATTCAGGGGCAAGCCGTCGGATCCCTAAAACCAACAAGAGTCGCCTAAATTTTATTTAAAGTAAAAATATTTTTACGACCGTTTGAGGTCTTGAAAGAATCGCACGCAATGTTTCAGAACATCGAACGACAAGTCTACGTGAGTTAAATTACCTCTCGGAATGGCAGAATTTACGGTGGCAACTGATAAACAACACATTCGATGGCACTGCATTTGCTACGAATTCCAACGGGGAAAAATGCTTTTAAGGCACGGGAATCCATTTTTAGTGTTCTTAGTGCTGATTTTGTGTCTTATTAAACGTTCAAACGTTTAAGAAGTGGTGATTTTGATCTTAGTGACCCAACTTAGTGATCTTAGTGAACGCAACTTAGGCCAACGTGTGGACACATGCTTTCCACATGCCTTATCTGCCGCCATCAGGCAGTGAATAGACATCTTGCGGATAATTGTGATGGATGATGAAAAGTATATTTTTACGGGAATCCCAAACGCAAAGGGGCATCCACTTAAAGAAGGTATCTGGTGGTACATGAAGGGCGTACTTCATTACAAACTCCTACAAACTGGTCAGACGGTAACTGCGGAACGCTACAGCTGACAAGGTCATAGAAAACGATGGACAATATATCCAAGATTAACTTCGTCGTTTTCATACAAATGTTCGCTGTTTAAACATTTGTATGTGAAAAGTCATACCCTAATATTTTACCCTACAATACCAACATAACAATGCGGATTCAGGCACGTATTTTTCGCTATTGGTGTGTGTGGAAATGAAAATTATGCTTTTCAAGCAGATTGAAAATGTATAACTTCTAATTTAAATATGCCAGCTTAAAGGCATTGTTTTACTACGTCACGGAATCCCTCACTTAAAATTAACGCGAAGCAAATAGTTGGTTTAGTGGGAAAATCGACTCTTATTGGTTTTTATTCCTGATTGGGTTATACAGCAAACCAATCATGTTGGAGTGGCAATACAAAATCATGTTTGAGTTATTGTGAGCACTTTATTCGTTATTTTTTGAAATTTTGGTTTAACTTGGTTTTTAAAAAAAAAACAAACGTAAGGTCTAGTAGAACAGAACAACAAATTTCGTAAAGAACCAATCAAGTACAAGTCACTTGCCTGAATTCGTGATCAAAAAGAAAGCTACATTTACTGTCAAAATGTGAGTTAAAGCGGAATTTTCGCACTTTACAGCTACGCTTCGTTACTTCCCTGACAGGAGCTCAAGAAGCCCAGTTTTTGGAAAGTTGAAGAATTCTTGTTGCTGATGGCTGATGGTGAGCTGTCACACAAATTCTGCTTGAAGACTGCATACCAAAAAGACACTAGCGAACTCGCGTTTCCAAAAAAACTACGTAAAGTTGTCCCGTTAATTTTAATTGTTTGCTCATTGGCGCCTAGGAACACATTTTGCCTCAAAATGACGTTAGTTTATGGAGATAAAAATGAAACTGGCGCAGTACTAAAAGTCAACGTCTGTGGGATTCAAAATTTCGCAAAAAAACAACTTTTTTGCCTACAAAACGACTCAGTTTTGATAATAACAGGCAGCGCTTGGTTTAAAAAAACACTTTACAGGGAACTGGTCATCTACGCACCAGAGTGGCATTTCTATGTGCAGAATGGAATTCAATTTGAGCTAACCTTAACGGGTTTGAGCCGGATCCCGTACATCTCAACCTTCCTTGCGGTGTCCAACAAACTCGAGTCAGCTTCTGTTGGTGTTTGCCCGCTGCAAAATAATGAAATAAAATTAGAATTGCACGGAAAAGGAATCTGGATTGCCCAAAATCAATGTGTATTTGGGCAAAAACAAGTACCATTTTACATCTGCAGTCGTCGAGGCACACCAATCACTGACCACATTGGCTACGAAGTATACTATCTTAAGAGATACCGACATCAAGAGTTGACAAATAAACCAGCCACGAACAGCAAACACGAAGTTTAATTTAAAAAAAAAACCAAGGCTACAGCTCAGTTCGAAATTCAGTGTTAAAACGAGGAACAAAAATGCCAAGAAAAAAAAACGAACAAATTTGGCGGGCTGCTCGAAGATAAGGAGGATCGAACGAATCGGTTTTCGCTAGCTTCTTTGCGTAAGAGCGTTTTAATTTAAACAAATTCAAATTCTGCTTCTCGCATGTCCCAAATCCTGTCTGATCCTCGGCGCAAGCGACTTCTAACGACCTGAGGTGTGTATCAAAGTCCAGATGAGGAAATCCAATTGGTCATGCATGGCATGCTACCTTCGAAAACGTAAAATTTCGTGACTCCGATAAATTATTCTCTAAACTGCTGTTAGGTTGTAATTGTGCCCAGTTTCTTGGTAGGCCACGAATCACACTAAGCGTTTTTCGATGACACAGAATCTTTGCGAATTTCGAGGGCAACTAAGAAGAGCTGAAGGCAAAGTAGAGCGACTCACATCAGGCTGCGATGGCACTCCATTACTTTGTCAAGGAATTCCGGTGTTGCTGTGGGAACAAGCCGCAGACCGACGAGGTACGAGTGATCGAGGAACGCGTCCTCCAGAAAGTCACCAATTTCAGCTGGATTTTTGTAAAAAAATGAACAAAAAACACACCTTTCGTTGGTTTACAGCTTAGTCAACACGCTCAGTCAAGGATCGGACTTAGAGTGAGCACAGTGGCCACGACCAAGGGTAGTTTGGTTATAAAAAGCACACACAACCCAAAAATGACTTTGTTCAGAGCGTTTACCTTATATAAAAAATAGTTTCCCAAGGTTCATGCTACCACGTTGCAGCGGAGCGGGCTAAAACGCCGACGGTGTAGCCAACGGAGCACATCATTTTAACGCCGTCACGCGATGCGGTGTGCAAGCCTGTAACTCGCCCGGCACTATACCGCAACCCCTCCTATAAGGCCTGGAGCGAAATTAACTGAAATTTCAACTGCTTTGATTACCTAACTGTGACTTGCCCCGGTTCAGGGGAGCAAAAGTCATCTCGCCTCCGTGTCAGTGTGTGTGTGTGTCGCCAAAAGCAGGACACGATTTGATGCGGGCTGTTTATGTACAAGGAAGATTATTAATCCCTGGGGCAGTGTTTCTGAGGTAGTCTACCGCGTGTCAGATGTTCGTGCGCAAATGTGGCCTCGGTGTTGTGGTAGGGCAAAATGAGTGAGGTTATATTTTAAGTGGAAGACTTAGGTAAACACCATCTCAATTGGTCCAATAACTCTCCGCAAACAGGTTCGATTCTAAGCTTTTGTTTTGTAAAGAAGTAACACCTAGACACACGGCCATGAATAGGATAGCATTAGACTTTGGCAAGGGAACAGGAAATCGCTAGATAAGTATGACGTTTAATTAGCAATTTTAAATCATTTACTGGAAATTAAACAAGCACGTAACTTAGTTGAATTCCATTTTAAAGTAGAGTAGTTTGTCTGGATCTGAATGCCTAGCCAAAATTCAAAATGGCAACGAGGAACCAGGCACAAACATGTGAAAACTGGTCAAAAGGCCAAGAGAGAGAGATGTAGCATATCATTCAGTTTAAATGAGGCAAAAAAAACTCACCCTGGACAATGAAAGCAGCCAGGAGGGCAGCAGTGTTCTCGCTGCACTGCAGGTGGCCCCGGAAGAGATCGCGCTTTATTTGCAGAGCAAAGAGGTACCTTGTGTATTCATCCTCAAGTAGGTTTGGATGGGGCGCGTAAAACTTCACGCAGAAGCCGAAAATGAACTCCTTCTCGGCATTGTGTTGTTTACAAAGCGGCTTCAGGTGATCCAGCCAACACTAGGAGGAAATGCAAGCGATGGACGATGGATGAAGACAACTTTACTAACTAAAGACCTTTGTGAGTATGAAGTAACCACAATTTATGTTAGGAAGTCAAAAGACAATCCTGGCGAGGTGCTTGATAGGTGTTCCTTAATGTCTATTCTTGAATTGTGCTGGGGATACGCAGACGTCTGCGTCGTGGGCATTCTTGAAGACGGCAAGTAATCGTCTCCAGTCACATCAATGGCTTGCAAGCCATTCCGCAAGTTCGCGAGACTTCTACTTCTGAACAACAAACCTCTTGTCTATTGAATGTAAGCTCTCATTGATAGTAGGTACTCAGGAGCTGTTTATCGTTCTTCACTACGTAGCTACCGTGAGTTTTTGTGCAAGGACACATTCAACCAGCTTCAGACCAAAACATCTTTCAATTGAGTTTAACGGATCAGCTTGAAATTGAATGTGGAGTTTTTGGACTTCTCCATTTTCCAAATAAGTTGACAATTACGACTTTTTGATGACTTAAGTTGCAAAAGGTGCATATATGGCAAGACGCCCACAAAAAATGCCTCTAAAATCACAGGACTGGGTGTGATTATTCACGGAAAAGCACATATTAAGGGATTGATGATACTTGTGTTCTTTCTTGACACAGCTAGACGAAGCAAAGTTTCATTTCATTTTAACAAGACACGCCACTTCCCCACATGAATTAGCTGCCTCTCAAATGAGAAGTTTGAGAAGTACTTTTAATCCGCAATTTCGGTGGGATTTCATGACAACGGAAGACGGAACCAACCAACACGACTCTAACAAGCACGAATTTTGATTACCTTCACTGATGATTTGGTGAGACGGTTTATCATCTGCCAACTCGGCTATTGATTGGTCGAGTCAAAATTATTGTGTCACCTGCACTTCTAGCTGGGAATTAGAAGTACCAGTTGACATTTATTTGCAGTAGTTGATGAAAAAGCAATAATATCTTATCACTTATTTGGATTCTCTTGCAACTGGAGCATAATTTGTGTCAAAACCCAACGATTTTCGCGTTGCCTAAACGTTTGGCCCTTTTGGTAATACTGTGACCTTTAGCATTTGAACTGACAGTTTAGCATACACTTATTGTGGCCTATTAATAATGAAGTTGATATTCGAATTGGGCATTTTTTGTAAGAACGCAGTGTCTGACAGAACTGCCCAAAGATTTGGCGTCAGATACGGTAAAATAGGCTATAAGCAGATCCGCGCCTCATACAATTCCTGGGACACAAGGCTAAGCGCCTTTGAAAAGTGAAACCGTCAGTTTAACCTATGAATAATTAGGCTGAGTAAAACATAAATGGTCATTAGTTAAATGGGGTTTATATTGGAGCAATATGCTAAAAAGTTTAACAAGACAAAAACCTCAAGACTATCGGTACACATAACAGCAACACTTTTCAAGAGTTTAAATTTAATTGTTACAGTAAAAAAAACATTACGGAGCTTATGGTATTTCAAATTACCAATGTTATTTACAATCAACTAGACGTCCAAATAATATTAATTACTGGAACACAGAATCAAAAAGGAACTTGATCGATTTCAGAGTTAAAAAATTTTGGTAAAAAACCTGAAGAGTAAATGGTAAAATAAGTTTATCATTTCTATTCAATTAATAAGAAAACGTCAAACCTGTGATTTGCGACAATGGTAACGGCTATGCAGGGTTTTTTTGGTCCAATAACCAAACAGTTTGGGATATAAAAAAATTTTAACATTGAATAAACATATTGAAGTTTTGGTCGACGGATTCTGAGAAAGAGAAGACCAACATTTATTGGGGATTGAAATGTTGGAACAGAACTCAAAAGGAAGCCAAATGACATGTAAGTAGAATATGGGAACGTGTAAAAACAATGAGCATATTGACTTACAAGGTTGCCATCTTTATTGACGTACTCCAAATCAAAGTAATCCGCTTCTAGCACACCTAGTCGTTCCATCAAAGCAGAATACAGATCTTGGCCAGAGGAACGAGGCTAAAAGGTAAAGCGTCTGATAGTGGCGACAATAAGGCAGATAAGTGGGTAATTTCTATAGCGAAATAATTCAGCATCTTTATTGCGATTTGCATTGGAAATAATGGATGGGCTGCTTTAACAAATTCGCGTCAGGAGTCAGGTGATTGCTCAATGAGTACAGAACGTTGCTTAGCCTGCGATGTAGATTACAGATGCTTGAATTTCAGCTAGGCTGACGATAAACACCGTTTTTTTAGTAAATCTGCTTGTAAAACGGGAAGACAAGTTAAAAGTCAAATAAAAAAACGAAGGTCAGCAGATTTAGTTCTTTAAACGAGGTTCATTAAAGTTTCGTTAGTTTTCCTATAAATATCAAATGCTTCAAAGAAGTGAAAAGTAGGAGATTAGAACTTTTGATACACGTTATATTAAACTAACTGCAATATTTGGAAATTGCTAATAGCGTCAAAACACAGGCTGGTTACTGGCGCGAAAAGATATGAAACATAGGTTTACAAACAGCATGGGACAGTGAGGAAGACCGAACAAAATATTTCAAGCACACGATGATCATTTACCAAATTTAAAAAAAGTGCAGAAATGTATTAAATTATGGATAAAATAACTTACGGACATCTGAAAGTGGTTGCGAGTTGAATCAAGCATCTCGACCTGGACTTGCAGAGATTTGGAACTCTGTTTCAAACTTGTGTTGGATGAATTAGCAGTGTGTGGCATTTTACAAGGCACAAATATGTAATCGAAAGTTTAATCACAGGCTAAATGCTCGTGTGCGCAGTACTTTCAAGTACCGGATTAAGGCGCGTACAAAAATTTAGGGCAATAGCCGTTAAGAATTCCCCACGTCTTTGGACAATTGATCAGTAAAAATAATTCAGTAATTCCACCGACAAGCTGTAGGTAATGAATTCTGCGACCATTATAGATTGGAATTCGGAAATCGTCCTACAGACGACAGTCTAATGGAGAATAACTTTATAATTTTCAGTGAGGCCTTGAGATGCAAGTTTATTAACTAAAACAAAGCTAAAGAAGCTGAAATTAAAAGTGACATTTTTTGGTAGATGAGGCCTGTTGTGTGCGGTAATAAAGATAATCTAAGTGTGGCTTTAAAAAAAGTTCAGAGGTTTTTTACAATGGGCACTCAACTATCAACTTTTACAAAGACTTACAATATTTTGAAGGCCGGCGAACAAAAAACAATGCTTACACATCACTAAACATTATTTGTTTGTTACCAGCACACTATTTTAGCCAATGCAAAACAGGAAACAGCTTTTTGAAAATTACATGCATGGAGTTGACTGAAGCGTGATTTTGCAAATTCTTTTTCAGAGAAAAATAGAAAAACAAATTACATAAATAAAAATGAACAAAGATCGGATCCTTCATATCTTTATGCTGCATCATGCAGGAGTAACAAATCAAATTGATTCATAATTGTTTGTTGATTTTCAATAAAAGTATTTTTTAATTCCCTTTTATTTGATGAAAAAATGTCTACTAATGTATACATTTGATTTGACGGCTTTGCACTTTTTAATAAAAACCTGTTTTATGCAACCCAGCAACACTTGTAATATATGTTGATTTTTTAAAAAATTGATGATTATTTCTTTTTCATATACTTTTAAACTAAACCAAGAGGAAACTGGTTCTGAAAAACCACTAGAGTTGCATAATGTAACTGCCAAAAATTGATTCAAAGCTCTATTGTAATAGATTATTAGGATTGCTGTTTAAGATTAATTAATTTTTTATTTTTTACCTTCGTAAACAAACTTGATTTGTCATTGGATGTCGCTTGATAGTTCGAAAATACTTAGGAAAAGGGAGTGTCTGTGAGTTGTAATTTATCCACTGTTAAATGTCATTGCAATACGTTATTAAAAATGCGGGAAAATGTGCTACATTTCCAAAGAAAACAAACTGAGATTTTAGGTTAAAAAATTTGCTACTACCTTGAAACTTTTCAAGTCGTTAACGCCGATGGAATCTTATACGAGATAAAATAGTTAAAAGACCATGGGCCTAGAGGAGAACTCTTCACTAGCTAGGCGTGCGTCACTAGAATGTGATTTGTCACAAATGAACGGGCATCACGTGTGTTTGGAAATGTTTATATGCGTCGGCCTCCGTAGACAGTCGTTTCACTTTGAAAATGTCCTTCAGCGCAAAATTATGATCTTTTCGTTCTTTTAAAACTTCAAAAAGGCTCCAAAGAGTTTTTTTATATAGTGGCCACAATCTTCAGCTGGTTAATTTTTAGTGGTTGCCCACAACCGCCACGTTTAATTAGATGTCATTTTTACAATTTTTTTTTAAATGAATTGAAGTTTGAGCATCTTTTTTTAATTGAATGATATTTAAAATGGTGTGTATACTGAGAGCGATTTTAGGTGGTATAGACCCAAGGTACAAAACCAAAGGTAGCATAATGCTGTAGTAATATTCTCGTGGCACTTCCTCATAAGGCGCATGTGATCGATCAATAGCTTTCACGAGGTATGACGGCTAGCTTGTTCAGTATCATTTTGATTTATGACGAATTTTCTAGTCATTCAAGCACAATAACATGGCAATTTCGGACCACACACACAAAAGTAATTCCAACGCCCTAGACAGGCTTAAAAAACTACCTCAAATGAGCTTTGAACACTGTGGGATGGTGCATCTAAGAGAACCAGAAAATTACGAGGTTGAATCGCACCTCGAGTTTCCATTGCGTGGCAAACGCTATTTGCTTGCCCTGCTCACGTGTCGTATGCAGTGTTTCCAATTAATATTTTTTATTGTGCTGGAAATGGCCTGTATTGGACTATGTGTATATGGAATTGACTCCTGCAAGAACTTGAGTATTTTTACGATATGCATTGCTTCGGCGGGAATTGTCTGCGCGCTGATGGAGTGGTGCAGAGACAGGACTTGGCAAAAGGCATCTCCAGTTCTTTACCGCCCCGATTTGTACGTACCTGTGGTCCAAAATATCGCAACAGAACTTGAACAAGAGTTTAATGAACTCAATTCTCTGGAATTTGAAGCCGATCACCGTAGGTATTTCGAAAAACCAACCTTGCCTCCCTCCTCTCCAGATAATTACCATGATGAAAGTGAATCCCAAGGTCAGTTGGCAATTGGTCATCTACTCGACACCAATCGAATTCTTACATCGATTTGCTTAGTCCTTGTTTATCTGCTTGGGTGTGTCGCAATCACTATGGGGCTGGTTTGGGTTCACCACCAAATGCGCGAATTTCATCAATCAGCTCATTTAAACTCCACACAATCCAAACCACGTGCATGCACCTCGCGTGCGTATTTACTAGCCATCATTTACCTTGCCGTTCATTTCGTTATTCTCATAATTCGCGTTCTTTGGTTAATTACATTCGACGGAATTGTATTGAAAAAGTTTATAAATTACACGTTCTCGGGGCCCCGTCAGTACACATTTCAAGTTGCGCGAAATTCTTTGAACAAAGCCCCCCTCGACGGCAAAGTTGATGGTTGAATGTTCCAATGTATTCAATACAAGCTCAACACTGTCGGTGAAGTGCCAACTTCAGTGTTGATGCTTCTGCAGATGGTATTTAGCATCGAAAACTGAATTTTAATACTTCGATGTAATGCATTCAGAGCATGCGTGTATGTCCTCAAATACATGAGCATTTAATAAAGCGTTTTTTTAATTTGGGTGCCGGTTACAATATCATCTGTTCTAAACATTAATTTTGACTGCTTTGGTGTTATTCCATTAAGTGTTTGTCGACTATGAGATTCAAAATGACGTTTAAAAATAATTCCTTTTGAGTGTTTAATACCATTTTAAAACAAACACCATATTTAGTTGGAAACCTAATTAAATACAGCAAATTTACATTCCAAATAGCATTTGCCAATCATTTCTCAATCAAAATATCTAATGGATTTTTTCTATTTCAACTCCCTCAGTCTGTTGTGGTTGTTGCGGTTTGGTGTTGTCATGGTGAACAGTGATGACTTTTGATTGGCTAAATTTGCACGTTTTGTTTCGATGTCGACATTGAAGGGGGCAATTCACTCACATTACTTCTCTGCACTTAGTAATACCCCAGATTCATTGGCTGCGTCAGTTAAACCTTTGCTATCGATTCTGCTCCTTTACCCCCAAACTCCCACACACTCGATCCACTTTTTATGACCAGCGATGACTTGATCCACAAAGGATTTTCAGTTGAGTGCCTAACGCGGACTTGAGATAAGTTAGTTCAACTGTTCTTTACTGCCACGAAGGCCATTTCCTAAAATGGCCTTTGCTAGATTTGGAAGCCTTCTATCGTGTATCGTGTTGATTTACGACTGTCCATCAGTTCGCCGCGGCCTCCAGCACACTACACCTCTTTTCATGGCATGTCTGACCGTCCGTTCACACACCCCTGGGCATGTACCCTCTCTTCCCTCCACCCATTTCACTCCGCTGGCCATCACATTAAGCATAACCTCAATCCTTCAACAACAAGTGTTCGCCTCAGATAGAAGTGCCTGTGAAGTTGCGGTATGCTTATCTACTTAAATTACACATTTTGTGTAGTCAGACACGAAACTGATATAGGAGGGGTAAGCGAAGGTAATTTTAGCGATGCGATGCACTTTTCTCCCCTCAAACACTAGTGAAAGGAACATAAAACAAGTTTTATTTTGCCCTTGTAAAGTTCATCCTTGTGTACTTTTAATATTCTTAGAATTGGAATCTCCTTTAGCCATGTTCTACGATGACAAAAAAGGTGATACTTGCACCTACATCTTCACCAATCAATGCTGCATATTTTTTTTTTAAAAAAGTGAAGAATTAGTTGACCGAAAAGTGATTTCGGCTTTTTAGGAGAAAGTTAACTAGGTTTTGGAATTGAAATAACTAAACCCCATTATCACCTTCAAGAAAACATAAAGATGCTTTGTGTGTAGAACGATATGTACTTATCAGCATAAAACAGCCAATTTCGATGTCAGGTCACTCTCATTGGTGGAAGCTACTCTAACACGATGTCAGGCCACCATCATCTTTGAAAGTTGAACCAAGGCGATGTCAGGTCACCATCGTCAGGCAAAATAGTGGACCTTTCAAAGTGAATCACATATTTTTAGATAGCGACTTGTCTGGTCAAAATCATAGCCATTTTTCCCTGGAGTGTGACATCGCAATAAACTGAACCAATAGCAATGGTACTTCATGATCATTGGTGGTAGCAGCACCAATACGATGTCAGGTCACCATAATTGGTCGAAGCTGCACCAACGCGGCGTCAGATCAATATCGTTTTGTTGAGGTCGTATCGTAGAATACTCGAGCTCTAGTATGAAGAAGACTGGTACAACAGAACAGGCTTTATTGACCAATCACAAGCCAGAACCACACGTCAGGCGCCGTCCATCCGAGTCCACCACGTTGGCTGCGCAGCTCATTATATATCCTGCTTCTCTGATTGACTGCATATATTCCTCGCATTCCATTGGCACTCAAGGCAACAGAGGATTGGCTGAAGTCGGCGTGGTGCAATATATCTGCGCTCACAGACGTCGCTAAGGTACCGATCAGTCAATCAAACATGCTAGGTCAAGGCTATTTAGCGTGGATATAAACCAACATTATGACCCAGATACAAAAATGTCATCCCTCTTTCTAAATATGTATAATTTTTGGTGAAATACCAGTTCTTTATAATTCGCCACCGGTGAAAATTTTCCGATGAATGGTTATTCCATTTCCGATAATTGGCAACGATTTATTTCTTTACTGATTGTCTGCTTAGCTAAAAGCATTTCAAATTGAAGACAACATTTGTAATCTCATCACATTAATTATTTGGTATTCTGTGATGCATAAAGCTGTCTTTTTGGGGTTTGCCTTTCTTCACGCTTGGGATGTGACTACTTTGACTAAATGAGGGTCTAGGTGACCAATATGTGATGATTATTGGGCAAATTAAATCATTTTTTTTACACAATGCTCCTTCATCTCATGTGGAACCCAGATATCGATCTTGTCAACAATATCGTAATTTTTACTGTAATGTTTATGATGTACCGAGCATTTCTCATAGCCAAGAAAGATTTTTTTAAGTTTAATGGTAGGGAGAGGAAATACTCTGCTCGCTGCCAATTTCAGTTGACCTGTCAAACATTTGCGTCTCAGCTGGTTTTATCCTTGTGAAAAATGTTGAAATTGCGCATTTTTTACCCGCGTTTAAACTGACATTAACCTGATGGCTGCAAGTGGACTCACACGATTTACTTTTAAATTTCGCTAAAATTGTCATCCGTCTGTCCTGCATTCCTGCCGACCAATCAAATCTCAAGAAGAACCGCGCCATTTTAAACGACATGAGGCAGTCAATTGGAAAGGATCAAGGCGTTAAGCACCATGCAGAAAATAGGGATTTATTAATCTAGATCGGCGATGTGGTATCCATGGTCTGGTTCTTCTTAATTAAACTGAGCTTGAGAGGCACATTCTGTTCTTGATGAGGGAAGGTGCTTGATGTATCAGCCTTCGTGATTTCCTTCAGTGTTTTTAATTGGACTAGTGTCAACGTATTTGATTGCTTTGTCTGTCTAATGTCTCGTCCACTGACCAAACGAAAGTAATTATCTTGAGTCGATGGGGAAACATCCGTTTTTGTGACAACGTCATAAAAAACATTCGAGTGATCTTCAAACTGATAAGATCAGCGCTACCGACGACCTGAAAACCATTTCTCTCAGTGAACATATTTTTCACTTTGTTCTCTATAATTTTCAGTAAATAAAGGTGTTTTAAGGCACTATTAGGAGATTATCTTTTGCTATGCTGTAACCTCACTTGAAATTCCGTTGACCCTAAATTTTGATTTGCTAATGGATATTTTAGGAAAGTTATTTGAAAATAGAATATCAAAGTCTAAGATCTCAATAGAATAGCAATTCATATATAAGCTATCTAAAACAGGTGCTGGAATGCCAAAAAAGACCTTGTAAGGGAAACTTTTCTGTCCCAACCAAGAGCCGAGTAACTCTTGCTCTTGGCAGTGAATAATAAGCTGAAAATAGAAATTTTGAGAGCAGAGAAATGTTTTAGATGCAATAATTGTGAACTTAAGTTTTAATGAGGTTAGGTGTGACAGTTGTGAATTTAAGTTTTCATGCGGTGAATTATGGATTTCCCTAAGCACTTGTAATTAAGAGAATGGCAGTGTTTAAATTACCGTCAAACGCAGGCGCAGTTTATCGATATATGTTCCTAAATATGAGTTGTCCAAGTTAAGAATTTTAAGAGATGGACCAAGTGTCTAAATAAACTTCCACGCATTATCTTATTGTTCTCAACGTAACCTTACCAGTTTTTTTCCACTGTATTGTTGTGGGTTACCGCTAGATACCCTGGAGAGACAGATTTTGTCATTGCAAATCTGTGTTTAAAGTCCCCAGGTTTCCTGCCCGAATTCTATGTAAACTCGAAATAAAAACCAATAATTCCTGACCGCTTTCAATGCGTCTCGCTTTGTCAAGCTCATTGGATAGCGAGCCATTTCCATAAGCTGTCGTTATCATTATACGACTAGTTAAGTCTTGTGAACTAGATTTAATCAGTTACTAACAGCTACTTTAAAATGGCAAGGAATTTTAGCATTTTGATTACATATAAATCGATTTGAATTTAAGCTGGATACGCATTGACACGAAATCACTTGCGCTACCTAAAGCTTTGGACTAAAAATGAACAGTTCAATGCTGGATTAATTTGGTAATTTGTTGTGTTTAACGACGAAATTTACTGCTATTATATCACAATTTTAAGTTGAATCAGCCGCCATTCTCAAAACATTCGCAACGATATGTTGTGAATTGTTTCAAATTGAATTCCTGCTGTTCTGTTTATAAGATCCTTTTTGGAGGTCTTCAGCTTCTCGATTAGCATTCAAATGGATCGAAATTGCAGTGCTTTGGACACCGCGAGCTGGATGGTCTTATCTAATCTCATGACAACTGAGCAGAATGGAATAGTGTTCTGTGACAAATAACAAAAGGAGAACAACATGGTCAGAGGCTAAAAGGCCTTTAGTGATTTGTACAATGTTCACAATACAGCTCAAATTATTTTTCGCCTCATATAACTTTTGTGAAGGAGGATTAGTATATCCGTAGTGTCGACGTGTACAAACCGATAAAAGGGTTTATTATTACCAGGTTAAACAAGAAGCAAGAACTGACTGTGAGCCCATCTAAATGTATACAGTAATATAATTCACAACAAAACATGTTAGTAACGAAGTTCTCACATAGAGGCAGATAATTAAGGCCCAGTTCACTATTAGCCAAATTATTATGATAGTAGACGCCACATTTTCGTAAATCTACCCGTGAATCAATGCGGCTTGATTATACACAAAATGGATGTTATACCGCAATAATGAAATCTTTGTCGGTTAACATTTCTTAAAAGGTAAACTTACGTTAGTGGTTGCATAATATGACTTCATTTAAAATAGCAGTCAAAGCGTGTGTGTTGAGCAAAGAGGTTTCAGTTCACATGGTCAGAGCATTTATGCAGTTTTACAACGTCTTATACTTATATCAATGCTTTAGGGCAAGTATTGAATATTATAATTAGGATACACCGAAATTTTGGTTCTGCACTACGTTTTTAGTTAAGGGCCGTAAAACAATAAAAAATACGCGAATAAGGTTCATTATTGATGATAAGCAAAGGAAAAAACTTTGACCACCATAACTTTGGGAAAAATAACAAGTGGTAAATTGATACGATTCTATAGTATTTGCTCCTTGTATCGAGCTGTTTGTTTAAGCTCTTGTAAACACCAAGAAAAAATGTATTTATTTAAAGGGAATTAAAAAACTCGTAGGTGGTTATGAGCCTACTCTCCGAAAAGTCTTCGTTGACTTCCATGAAAAAGCCATTCACGACTGTATGATGATTGGTTGCATTGGCAGAAATGATGGGCTTACTTAGTGAGCGGTCTGCTTTAGTTGGTGTGCCTAACACTACGAATAGCTCGAGGTCGTGTTTCCATCCTTAAGATGCAGGAGGAAAGGATGTAGGTTTAGTTTGCGCAATTACTTGCCTTTTTTAAAGTGGTGATGAAAAGAAATTAGCGAAGCTTCCAACAGTTCCAATAAAACTCCTTAAGCGGAGAAAGCAGACAAACAAGGACGTCATTAAGCAGCAAAGGAAACGTTTGACGGAAATCCGGAAACGTGCTAAACAGCAGAAGAGCTTATTCCGTCGACCTGCACACTTTATATCTGTAAGCTTAGATGGTTGCTGTTATGTTGTAGGTGGCCCGTAAAGAAGCTCGAGATGAAGCTAGAATCGAGCGAGCTTCAAAACGGAAACCCCCCATTGCTGTAAACGAACGCCTTGGTATTATCATTCGAATCCATGGCGATACGGGCTTGTCGTTAGAAGCCACTCAAGTGTTACGTCTCCTGCGCCTTACTGGGTTTAATCAAGCTGTCTTCGTTAAAGTCTCACAGGTTTGATGCAATTTTCGTGCCAATTTTTTCAAAGGCAATGTTGCAACTGTTGACGGTAGTTCAGCCCTACATTGTATGGGGTTATGCCGATCTTGCCACTGTGAGAAATCTTATTTTTAAGCGGGGCAAAACACAAGTCGGATCAAAAATCAGATCTATTGATAATGCCATCGTGGAAGAGAAACTAGGTATGTTCTGTTTGTTGTTACATTTTCTCTAGGATCACTTGGGATTCTGTGTATTGAGGACATAATTCATGAGCTCATCACACTGGGTCCTCATCTTCGCGAGGTTTTAGGATTCCTCTGTCCTTTCAAGGTAATGCCACCCACTGGAGGTTGGCGGAGTAACCTGAAGAAATGCCAGCATCCGTTTAACCACCTTGCTGGGAATCGTGATGACATGATAAGCCAGCTTATTCATAAAATGGTCTAACTAATGCTGCCTCTTTGAAACCCTTTGCATAAGTATGTCGGCAGTTGAAACCCTTTGATTTGTATAGTTGTAAATTGGCACCTTGGTGCAAAGGAATTTTGACTAAACTTGTAAAATCCAGCTTTGCCGTTGTTCTCTCTATCTGGGCCTCTTTAATGTGACTTAGTGCGAAATTCTAGAAGCACTGACTTTGAAAACCTATTTCCCACCCGATGGTTATGGAAACTTATGCAATTACCGAGGTGCCAACCTAGCGCTCGTGATTGTGGCACGTTTTCGCTGAGATGACGCTTCACAGTTCGTTTTTACAAGCTAGTGTTAAAGTTTGGATCGCGCCGTCCTTTGAATATCACGCTTGGACAGGTCTACGGTAAAGTCCGGTGCCCGCCCCGAAGTCTGTTGGAGTTTTTCTTAAACCCCCCAGACTAAGTCGGATAGAGGAAGAATTTCAAGTACTTGGCATTTATGTATTTCAAAATCGGATAAAGTTACACCAGTTAAGTATGGTAGATTCTTCATCTTACTAACAAAGGGTGTGATAGATACGAAAGCGGTGAAGTTGCGTGAAAGACAAATGGCAAATTCAGGTGAGAAGGAGTCACTGAGCACGAGCTTGTGCACCTGCCACCTTTGGCTGGTTCAATGGTGGGAGGTCGGAGACATCGAGTGCATCTAGCTGACGCATCAACTCTTCTTCGGTAACGGATTCCAACACCGCAGGCTTAGTGGGTGGCACTTTGTCGGAGTCGCCTAAGATCTCCTTCAACTCCGCCTCCAATTGATCGCTGTCTACCGTGTTGGAAAACAATCCATTAAGGGGTTCTCCAATCGCAGAAGATATCTGAAGTAGCCAAACAACGCACTCAATCACAACTTTGAAGTGAATTTGTTGTGGGTATCTTGTTCGCGTAACCGCTTTTTTATAAAGAAAACTGCATAGTTGATGAGAGTGAATCACCCCCAAAAGTTCGGCTAGACAATTACACAAGAGCGTCATTTTTTAGCTTGCGACAGATGTTGCCGTAATTCGCCAATGTAAACCTGATTTTTAAGATATAAGCATAAACTGACTAACCGCGTTAGATTCGTCAATGAGCTCAGCCATCTCATCAATGGTGTCCTCTGCATCAGCAACACCCTCTAAACCTCCGGTTGTTCGTTTAAGTGCTGAAGTGGCTTCCGACATGGCCTTAAGCACCGAGCGATTGTCCTTTGCTGCACCGATCTTCAACTCCAGAGCCTCAAGATGCGCCATGTGTTTTGACTTCCGCTCCAACTCTGCCTCCAAGTGTTTGCATCGACGCAACTGCGCCAAGGCTTCTGATTTCCTAAATTTGATGATCAATAAACATGGGATTCCGTGGTTAAAGTAACCAAGGGTGTCTGGTGAGCTAAGCATGGGTACTAACTACTTGCGGTGTACACGCCTACTGGGATCATCACAATTACTGACTGTGAAGCTATCCAATGTGTCATAAATGACGTCGTGTCTCGGTCAAACAACTTGAAGAAAACGGTAGCCTATGTGGACATTGCTGCTGAGTTTCAAAAATTAGGATTTTGAATTGACATATACATGGGGTGAATGAGGCGAAAAGCCTACCTATTCTGACGCATCAAACTTTTAACTTTCGAGCGCCGATCCATTAGGTCCTTCGAAAGTCGCGCTTCGTCATTCGTGATTTGACGCATCGTTTTGCGCAGATGCGCGATTGAGGAAAGAACAGTTGGGTCCAAATTGGTGGGATTCTTGTCACTGACAAGAAAGATCAGCTACAGGAGACAAATGGGTATGTTTAAGAATAACGGTGATGTAGGTTTGAATCCGATTTCAACAAATGCTACCAGTAAGTAAGGCGAAAATGCTTTATAAAAGTAGGGGTTTCTATTGCATCCAATTAAAAATGCGCCCAAGTTGATTCTTTTGTCCAAAAATAACCACAAATTTCTAACTTTAACGTGTCCGACTTGCCAAATGGTCTCATAAAATATTTCTCTGTCTACTGAGTCGATGAGGAGTTGCGTCTTCTGTGGCATCGGAATTTTAAAAATTGCTCTTTGGACCACCGTGGTCCTTACGGGAAATCTACTACGAATCATGGGTGTCAGAAAGAACTGTTAGAAAGGATGGTAAACGTAAGTACATAAAAAAACGAGACCAATGTCAAAACATACCCTAATGGGTGCTGAAGAATCAATCCTCACGATTTCCTGTTGATAAAGATGTTTCCTAATAAAGTCGAGAGTCGATTCATGCGTGAAAAACTCATGAAGAGCGGTTTCGAAATCTTCTTCGGTGTACACATGAGCGTCGGGGGCGAGAGATGATTGGGTTTCTTTAAGATAACCGACGAACTGTTCACAGAAGGTTGAGAGGAGACCCGCAACCAATAAAGGAGTTTCGGGTGAACCATATAATCTGGCATCCAAATCACTTGATTGTGAGCTAAAATCATTAACAAACGACCGGATAATTACTCAGCTCCAGTAAAGTATGACCAGGCCCAGGAAACAGGTTTCTTGATAAGCCACTCCACACTCAAGTTTAGAATGCCACTGACCGTTCCGTCCAGGCGCGATACTTTTACCAGTCCATCTTCGAACATATTGGAAAGGACTTGGTGCAGACACTGCGGATAAAGGGTAGTGCCGTCTGAGATGAATTGGCGTTTAAATACAGTTTTTAAGGCAGACTCTGTCACGACTAAAATGCGATGGCATTTTGTGTATTCGAGTATCAGATTCCGCCAAAACAACACTTTTCGGTCATAAGACACAGTGTCAAGACTTCGAGGACGTTTTATGCGTTGAAATAATCGGTATATTTCATCATCATCTGCCCATTCATCTGGGAGTTGAAAATCAGCCCCCATAACCGACTAAAAGCCAATTTTTAGTAGCCCTTCTCGAACAAACGAGCCGCGATTTGGAGACAACATGAACAAAGGCTGACCAAAATTTCGGTCCAATTGTTCTACGCTGTTTCACAATGCAAGGGGCATAATTAAATATAAAAAAATTGACTAAACTTCTTTTAGTTAATCGCTACTCTGCAAAATCATTCTCTCTAAATATGTTAATATATTTATATTTTCAATGGCACAATGTGCATAAAAGGTTTTCTATCTGTGAAAGTCAACTAAATTCACGTGCAAAAATTAACGGTGCTTATGTCTTAGTAACACATTAGTAATTATTTGCAATTTCATTCCTCTTATTTGTTTTCAGTTGATTCCAACGCTGATGATTCATCCCAAATAATCTTTTGATAGTGACGATGGGCCTGAATGAGCCGTGATTCCAACATTTACTTAAGTAAGACTTAATAAACGTGCTCGGTAGTCATAATACAATGATAGTAACCTTTTTATGCACGCTTTCCTGTCCCTGATACCAATTTCCAGGCCTGAAATCATAACTTATACACTTGATTCATAGCAACCCCTCAAACTTTTTCAGGAAAATTGCAAAATTACAGGGAAAAGGTTTTTAGAGTCAAAGTACTTAAATCTCTATTGACACATGTATGTTTGTTTGGTACATTCTACTGCCTCGAACAATAGGAATCGAAATTCTTCTTACACAGGTCAGATCAAAGCATGGGGACTAACAAGTTTAGTGACAATAATGCCCTTAATTGGCCATTATTACATGCGAATGCACATATTCATGTAAACTAGGATGCATATGGTGATATCAAAAAAAATTTTGTTTCAATCAAGTTTGTCAGGAAATTGAGCCACAATGCGTCTTCTCACCCACTTAATTCTTCAGTCTGAAAGAAAGTAAAAGACGGTTTTTCATAGCCAAATTTCTATTTTATGTAGCCTGGTCTTTTTTATCTTGGATTTTGCTTTTTTTTAGCATATTTGACCAGAAAAATATGATCGTTAAAAATTTGCAACGCTCAGTTGAAACCACGGGGGTAGGCTGGAGTGACATAGGAGGTTGTGTTAGTAATAGGCCATAAGTATATCATATTCAAGAATGTTAAATGTGAATTTTATCAAGTTTTACGCATTGAAAAAAGGTCCAAGGGCAAAGTTTTCACCTGTTCTGTACAACATCAAGTTTAATTGTTAAAATTTCGTAATTTTAAAAGTTGTTTCTGAGTTTGATGGAGCTTTAAGATGATGGTAAGGAAATGGCTTTAGCGAAAATGAACATAATCATCAGTTTAAAGGCTGTCAAATTTTTTTATACTTATTGAGGAATGAAGCCAGATTTATAAAATCCAATGTCATGACGTTTGGTACATGAAAACTATGCCCCTGAGAGCTGTTGGTAAATGCAGAAAATTTCTAGTTTACCTCTGCATTCACTGACTTGTTTCGGTTTTCTTCTTATGTTTGAAGTTATAGACTTTATATTAATTAAAAAATGAATAATTTTGCATTTGACGAGATAACACAAAGAGGTAGCAGAGCGAGTAGATATTTGGTGTTTGTATTCTCATAAACAATGAATTTTGTACTTTTCTGAAAACAAATTTAACGGAAAATAAAGATAGACTGAATCTATCAGATAGTTAAAAATTCAGTAGCCAAAACTAGCTTCACATGTTAATCTCGGTGTGTTTTATTTGTAACATAATCATGGACTTTAGGAAATCACAGGAGCGATTTTTCAGTGAAATTGCATAGAGGGTCTGTAATGTAGACACCATTTAAGAGTGCAACGATATATACGGATCTCACACAAATTATCTCGAAATGCAGTAGTGTGGTTAACCAAACCATACCTGTTTATTTTCCGAGTCCGGCATGGCTGTTTAAAATGTCCATATTTTTCCGAAATCCATCATATGGAATAGAAAATCAGATTTCTTTCGTAATTCTATGTACAGGTAAGAGTATAAAAGCGGTTTTTAATGCGACCTTAAAGATTTGTGTGGAAAGTCTGATTGCATCGCTATAAAAGATCTCAACAGTCAGTTATGTCGGACAAAATTAACATTCATTTAGAATCTGCTCAATAAAAACAAGCCTGACAAAATCTATTTCCGAAAGTCAAATCTTAGCTTACCATTAGAAAAATACTGTGAAAAACATCTTGAAATGTTCACCGTATTTAAAATTGTTAAAAGCAAAGACTTATAATATTCTGCAATGATTTAGAAATACAACTAGAGGATGATGAATCGGTAACAGATATATGTTTAGAAATTGATACCTGTTCCATTTGTATGCCATTGTACTAGCATTTGGAGAGGGAAATGTCTACATTAGATCTGAAAGCGAAAGAAGCTCATCAAGGGTGAATGTGTTCGTCGCAATGGTAATAACTTCATTGTAAAAATGGTTAAAAATAACATTCGCAAAAAAAACATAGAATTTTGATTTGTTCAGCGTAGTCTTAATTTAAACCATGCAAACAAGAAATTTTTTTCTTGGCCCGTTCTTTAGTCCTTTAGATTACATAGGTGTTTGATGCATTGTTTTTATAAAGCCACCAATCTGACAGACAACGGACTAGGTTTCCTAGCTCACCGTTTCGCCAAGAACTTGTTTATTGGCCATATCCTTAAATTTTCCGTTAATTAGACCTTAGTTTCTATTCTAATTGTCAATTAAGAAATTGATCTGCTCAATTCAAAAAACTCACCTGAAACAATTATTTAGGCTAAGAATATTATGGCGCCCAATCACATGTCAGATTTGCCATTTCTGTGGTGGGGTCTGGGGACGCAAACTACCTGAATTTATTCCGGTATGATTGCCGGTGTCCCCCTTGATGAAGTTATTATCGAGGCCCATGGACCCATTTTTAATGGGCCTGGTGCTGAGAAACCTGATCTACCTTTTGTCCTACGAAAATTAGAAGCGTCACAACTCGATGCTGTTGAACGAGCAAAAAAGTACGCTATGGAACAGAACGTCAAAATCGTTCTCCTTAAGCAAACTCAACAGTCCCAGAATCTCCAAATGAATGCAGCACGTAGAAATCAGACGTTGGCATTGTTGAATCGTATTTACATAGGCTCCATAGCCTATGATATTAAGGAGGATATGATAAAACAAGCTTTTCTTCCTTTTGGACCCGTCAAGACTGTCAGTATGAGCTGGGATCCCGCTACTCAAAAGCACAAGGGCTTTGCATTTGTTGAATTTGAGTACCCGGAGGCAGCCCAACTGGCTATTGAACAAATGAATGGATCGAACTTTGGTGGTAGACTTCTAAAAGTTGGTCGACCGAGTAATCTCCCTGACGCTGCACCCTTTATGGCCGAGCTTATCCATGACTACAAACTTCAAAGTCGCATCTACGTGTCTGGTGTTCACCTAGATCTATCCGAGTCGGATATTGCCCTGGTTTTTGAAGCTTTTGGGACAATAACAATGTGCCGGTTAGTTTGATTCTGAGTCTTAACGTTTTGCGTAGCCTTGCACCTGACCCTCGTCGCCCAGGTTTTCACCGGGGGTTCGGGTACGTTGAATTCGATACCGAGCAGGCTGCTTCAGCCGCAGTCATGAGTATGAATAAATTTGATCTTGGAGGTCAACTTTTGCGAGTAACAAAGGCGATTTCTCCACTTGACGGCATCAGCACGGTTCCTGTTGTTAGTCAGCTTCCGGCTGCAACTGCTGTTGCCGCCGCGTCTGTCACAGCAATGCTGCTTTCAATGGAGGCAGAACAGGTTTGATCAACCATTTCGTTCTTTTTATTTATGTTGCTGTATGGTCACACTGATGCCTTCCTTATTCGTGTAGCTCCCAGAAGCACGGCCACCGGTAGATCCCGTGAAAAGCTCTCGTGACAGATCGAGGTCTCGCACGCAATCTCCACGATCGTCTCGCCACTCCAGACATTCAAGGCGTAGGCGAAGGTCCTCCTCCGAAAGCCCTCGTCGCAGACGTTCCCGAGACTCCCGGTCGAAGCCTGTTTCCGTCCCCAAGAGTGTCGAGGAATCTGACCACCCCAACTCCAGTACGTTTTCCTCGTCTAGTATAATATTTTTTTTCTATGAAAGTCTACTTATTTTAAAAAAAAAAGATTACCTGAATTCCGTGTTTAGTTATTTATCCGAAAGGAAAACAAGGTTCACGTTCTACTTATCCATGGAAACGTCTTTAAATTTAACCTGATTGTATTCGCATCATTGTTCTACTTGTGTAGCACGTCTGTTCGCGTGTCTTTACCGGAATGCATCCATATTCAGGCATATTGTTTCTGACACCCTTCTGAAATCTTGTTCTTGTTTTAGTGCTATCGATTTTGACAAAAAAACAATATTTATGCTTTCGTTTTTACGTATTTGTCCACAATTTCTGAATACTAACGTCAAATAAATACTTCTATATGACCTGATGGTCGACCCTACACCATTATCAGAAATACCCTTATTACCGTTGTAATGTAATGTTGTCATTTCAGTTATTACTTCCATTACTGCTTTTCATATAATACCATGTTGTTGGAGGTTGAGATCTCAACGTGGTGTCACAGCACCCTGAATTGACGGACTTGATTGGTTGTTAACTAGCTATCCATGTTAAGACAACTTGCAAGTCCGAGAACGTTGTTTCACGACAATTGGATCAAACGATCATATTGGATATCACGACTAAGTCTTCAACATGCTCTTTTTCTGCACCTGTTAGATGACCGATTGAAGCCGGTCCAAGAAGAGCCGAAGATTCAACCACCTACACTGACCAATAACAGTAATTGGTCGTCGGTATCGCTGGAAGAGGAACAACAGCAGTCCTTTGTCCGGTCAAACGACAGTAGACTCTACAATATTCCCTCCCCTTCCACCATACCACTGCCACCGCCCGATTAAGGAGCACAGTGAGTCTTGCTGGTTAGCATTTACACCTCTATTTTGCTGTTTCTATTCTTGTTGAACACATGGGACGAATTGGCGTTGTCCATTGGAGTTACGTGTCCTTGGTTTGTACTAACCTAGCCGCTAAGGTCTTTGTAGTGACCTATCAGCGTGAATGAGGCTCATTTGTGAGTTGGTCTGGCTCCAGTGACCATTGATGCACCTGGCAACCGATAATTCATCTCACGCTTCCACACGAGAAGACACTCGTATTCTCTGTTGCCTGTCTTGTTTCTGTTCTCGAATTTGTAGGGGCTGCTAACTAGCAGGGTCGTAAGGTAGTGCCATTGCATTTAATGACACCGCTAATTGGTAACCTCGTTCAATTCGGTATGACTGATGAGATCGTTTGAGTACTCTCTGCACGCGCCTTTCCTCGATCGAGATCATGAGATGCGACTTGATTGGGTTTGACTACAATTGTTACTTGTTACATTCGTTAGTAGCCAACGGCAACCAAATGCGACAGTTTGCCTGATTGACACGGGCAAAGACGTGGGCAGAGAAAGCTTGGACAATGTGCACTTCCAAACACGTCCGCTTTGGCGACCTTGACCGCGACTGGGGTTGAGATTGACCCGTCCGATAGCTGTCCGATTGTTCTGGTAGGACCGGCCGTAGACTTCGATAGCCTGAATGTGCCCTGCGTAATGCCTTTCCAGCAATTAGGCACGTCCAAATCTTGCTCCTGGTAGAGTTGGTTTTGGCTTCCGCCGTCACTTTGAACAAAAATTTTTCATTTCGTCGTACGGTACTGTTCGCGGCTCACTGGGTCTTGAAATGCCATTGAATGACTTCCTGTTTGTGCTTGTCCATGTCAGTGATGGGTTCTGACGGTTTGCTGGCTCCTTGTAGAGCTTTCTAACCTTGCCTCACCTCTCAAATTGTTACCTGCGAATACGCTTCGTGCAAAACGAAGTATTTCCTGACATGTGCCAACTTCTACCGCAAAGACGGAACCAGCTAAAGTACGGATGTTCGTGTCCAAGTGTTGTTGGCTGGAATTAAGATGGGAAACACATTCGAAGAGAAGTGGGCCAATCGGATGAGGGGCGGTTGATGTGAATGTGAAACAAGATGGTTTTTGTCTTACTGAGGTGGCTAAAACTAAACTTTTTGAATATGTGACCATTTGGGCTATTTTTCAGTGTTTTGATGAAACACCCGCCTTCAGTTTGCGTTCTTCAAGTTTGCTGGGGTTTAGGTGACGTACTTGGAATTCGTTTGAACCTCGTGTCGCAATGTCGACCCCCAAGTCTCATTCCATCTGGTTGTAGTCGTTAGCTTTTCCCCAACTCACACCGTCTGCCACCAATTAGGCCTACTTGCATCAATTTTAGCATCCTGTTTGGTCTTAAATTGCGCTTTTAAAACGGGAAACTAATGTCCTGTTTGTACCATTTAATTAAGTGCAGCGGAAAGTCTGATCTCGGTTTCTCATCGAAAAGTCTGCAAGGATGGCCGGTTCATTCTCTATTCACGTGCTAGTCAGCGTTCCTGATGCAACTATATTCAGTTTAATCCAACTGCCGATTTCTGCCTCTAACTGGCAAAATGATTTTCAGACCGTAGCTTTTGTAATTTCACCGCAGTGAACAGAAGCTGACTCCCCAATGAAGTGTAGTAGCAGCGATCAGTCTTAGTGCATCTTCAATCACTGTTGCTTCACTAAACTGTTGTCTTCTGATCGTCTCCGTGTTTGTTGTGTCTCTTATTATTTGTGCTTTGGTGTAGTTACCTTTGTTAATGCAGAGACGGTGATTAAACTAATGAAAAGACCGTTTATATGTATGGAAAGTCGCGAAAAGGCGTCATGGAAACATCTTCGAACAAACAGATCATTGGCGATATTGGTCCTTTTGTTTCCAAGTGTATGAGGTACTTAATGGGTTTCGTGGAAGTCTTAGCTCTACAACGGAAACTCCATTTTTTTAATCTATAGTGTTAACAATGCATCGATATGTTCACCTGTCTTGTTGAAATGTCGGAAATTTTAACCAAATTCGACCTCTCCTAGAATCGGATATCACCTTTAGAAGGTGAGTCTGTTTGGACAACAATGCATTTCAATGAAGGTATTGGTTAAGAATATTATGTCTTATTTTACCAATATTAATAAAATCGATTACTAGAAACCATGTTTGCTCCATGTCGATTTGTAGACGAGAATAGGCGGGGAACATTTGATTCGGTTTTGGTTTTCTCTTGTGGTGGTTTCCATTGGTTTAATCTTGCTTTTTTAACTTTTTTTAGATTCCAATGGCAGCTTCTAACCACGCTCCTCTTCATGTACATAAATGTGAGCACCATGGGATCTTTGCTCCATCAATAGGCGATCGTTGTTGTATACCATACATCAAATAAAATGTTGGCATGTTCCTGATCGTAACTGCCTTTTAGGTCTTGGTGATGCAATACAAAGAATTGTCCTGGTACCTAATGCGATATGCGCTTCGGCCAGTATCTGTGGGTAAACACTTCATAAAATAACCTCCGATAGGTGGTGTACTTTTAATGCACGTTTCCGTTTTAGATACTGCCATTTTGAGGGGTACCTAAAAGCGTCCGTGATACTTTAACTTCTGCCTCATTCTGTCAACGTACCTCTGGTTGGGGAGTTGGAAGTACCGTTTATGACCTTAGGCTAAAGAACCTAGGGTCAATTAGGCACCTGGTATTGTTGCGCAGAGCAAAGCGCTCTGCTAGTTCGTCAAGCATCCTTACTGGCAAACAAAAAGGATCAGAGGGCCTAATGGTGGCTTCTTGACACTAAAAATGGAGATTTTTAGTTACGGTGACGCGTTAGAAAGCTCAATTAGACATCAAGGCAGGGCTTTATTCCAGATGGTGTTCTTGATTCCATCTGCGCTTACCAGCACTGCTGACCCATAGCAATTTGAACAGAGTTTGAATAGGGTAGCATGTTAATCAGTGACAACAGTCGTTTGAGCAATGCTACTATGCGTTATTAGTCGCATGTACACCGTGGATTGTTCCATGAGTAAACTATAAGTGCCAGTGACAAAAGTTCAGGCATTTGTCATGGTGGTTGAGGCTTCGTGCATTTAGATCAAATATTGAACAGAACGCATTAGCCATGATGGTAATGCAAAACAGTAATATCTGTCGTATTCATGCAAACCTGGTCACAGGAACTATTTCACGGCCTTTACATAGGGCAGACTGAATTCTCAATTTTAGATTTTTAGCCATTTGCACGGCTTCACATGTCCAGGACAAGTAATGCAGCCCACTATACGTGTTTATGCGCACAACAAAAAAAACTGCTATTAGAAGATTTTACTAAGAAGGTAGGTAATTAATAATTCATTACTTAATTTTAGAACAACAAAGTAGAAAAAAAATATAACTACGAAATAATTGTCGAAGGATACTAAAAATTGCAAAAAATAGTCAAAATATGGAAAAAAACCTGCCAAACGATTTACTTATTTTAAATTCTCGTTTTGTTTATATAATCCAGTAGCATTAGAATTCGGCCTAACAGAAGGCTCAATTGTGGTTCTGCCGGCTTGGTTGGAGGTGTCGATCAGGAATTTGCTTAAGTCTTGCTTGCATCGTATTTGCGAAGGCTATGGATGCTCAACTGAAGTCAAAGATTGAAGAATGGCTTAAATGGGATAAAGTATGTTAAATATTTCCATCTAAATATATGTAGAACGAAACCACACGGTCGCAAATCGCCGCGCTGTCGTCCTCTGGTGATAACTCTCAACAAATAAAGAAGTTACTATGTAATCGAATGGAGTTTGGTACTGCCGGTCTTCGGGCGAGAATGGGTCCTGGATACTCTCAAATGAATGATCTTACTATTATTCAAACGGCTCAGGTAATTGTTCTTATTTAATCATAGCAAATTTCACAAGGGTTTACTTAAATATCTGACGGAAAACCACATTCACCTAAAGCCAAAGGGTATAATCGTTGGCTTTGATGGTCGCCACAACAGCAAAAAATGGGCCTGCATTACTGCCAACATTTTTACTCGCGCTGGTTGGAAGGTCTACTTGTTCCAAGATTTCAATCCTACTCCATTCCTCGCTTTTGGCGTTCGCCACTTTAAGACTGCTTGTGGTGTCATGGTGACAGCATCTCACAACCCCAAGGATGATAACGGATACAAGGTGTATTGGGAAAACGGTGCACAGATCCTTAGTCCACACGACAAGGGCATTGCCAATGCAATCCTCCAGAGTTTGGAACCACAAGAGGGTTCCTGGGACTTCAATGATGTTATGAATCATCCTCTGTGCTTGAACCCGTCGCCCGAATTGGAGGATACGTATATGAAAATTCAAAAGGAGAGGATTTGTTTCACTGAGTTTGTTTTCATTCTCATTGCTTTATGTTTTGTGTAGAGAAGAAAACAAGAAATCCGCCGTGAAGTTCGTGTATACGGCCATGCACGGTGTCGGTGCTCCAGCAGCCGAAAGGATCTTCCATCACTTCGGATTCAAGCATCTTATTCCAGTTGTTGAACAGGTAATAGCAGTTGTTGCATCTATTGTCGATTTAGATAAAACCGGATCCGGAGTTCCCGACAGTGAAGTTTCCCAACCCCGAGGAAGGTCGTTCGGCTCTCGAGCTATCGATTGCTACTGCAAATAGAGAGGGTGCGACCGTAATCTGTGCCAACGATCCCGATGCCGATCGAATGGCCGTTGCGGAGAAGCTGCCTTGGTAAGCGAAGATTTTACTTTTTAATCTGGAAGGCTTGTCCCTCCTCCTTATTTCTGCCACAAATGCTGCATAATTGTATGTCCGTCGAACCTTAATTTACCTGTAGAGAAATAGCCAAGACCCCATGCTCAACTAGAATGTTCTAGCTTTTGAGATTGTACCTTAAAACGTCTTAAAACAGTGGGGAATCGCCGTGATTATGCAACTCGGTTGCAATTTTTTACAATCTGCCCTCACCACAACTCACTATTTTGCACCTAAAAAGATTTATGATGTCTTCCAGACTTCATTTAGTATTACCTCCGCTTTACTAAACCGTTTTGTTTGGTTCATTCATTTGACCCGGATTTGTAGCTTAATCTGCTTTGCTAGGTCGCTGCAGCGCGGGCACACGTATTTGCGTTTATCTGCTATTGTTCTAGCCTGCTGGCTTTAGTATTCGTGCTAAACACACACCAAAAGGCGTTTTAGCCTGACAACGAAAACGTAAGCAAGATTTAATTTAAATAAGCCAGTTTTCAAATCTTACATTGACTCATAGTGCATCTAATTAACTTTTGGGTAATCATATGTTCATAAATGAAACACCAACGCCGGATAGTCTTGTATTTTTACTACTGCTAACTTTTCGGTTTAGGCAAATCTGCCATGTAAATATAGAAATTGTGTTCTTCCGCTGCCACTGTAGGTATTTTCTTAGAAATGACTGGAATCAAGATGAATCACTTGCTTTTTACTGAGCCGAGGTATCCGGCACCCCTGTATCGGCTATTTTTTCGGTCAAATATGAGTCTAAAATTCATTTTTACTCGTTTGTCCACCTGGTAACGCTTATCCTCCACTATTCACCCATTAATCCTGATTTCCGTTCGTAGCCGAGGTTGCACTTGGCGCTCAACAATTGTTTGTTTTACGAGAGGTTTAACGGCGCACAGTTCCAAAATTCCTTGATACCAAGGTGATGCTTCGCTTGCCAAATCGAAATTGACCCGCTCGGGTACCACCCGACTAGACGATGGCAATAGCATGCCTTGACACTCCCCCACGCCTTTTCAAAAGGCCTACGAAATAATATGTCACTCGTTACGTGTAGCCGTGTGTGTGTGTGTGTGTTGGATTGACGTCAACGCCTGGGTGGTACCATTCAAGGAAAATCGGTTTCTTCGTCGGAATTTTTTCATGTGTCGGATTGAAGGTATTGCCTTCACATAAACAACTTCCAACTGCTCAACAAACTTTCAAAACGATCATTGAGAGTGGCGTGAACCTTTAATTTCAATTATGGACTAACGGTGTGTCACTATACTTGTTGATATCCGGTGGTTCCAACCAGGCTTTGGCCGTTTGCTTAAAAGATATTCACACGGCACCCAAACGGCGGTATCAGCAATTTCGGCATGAGATGACACGCAAATTCACAAGCACCTTCATTGCCTGCTCGTAACCTTTATAGCGGGAAGTGGAAGATTCTCAACGGCAATGAACTGGCCACCCTCCTTGGCTGGTGGATGTGGACGAACTGGAGAAAGCGCCACCCCAACGCCGATCGTAAGGAACCTCGTGTTTTCTTGCTGCCTGCACCCTTGTCCGCACACTCTGCATAATCCATTAAGACTTGCATTTGTTTTGCTTTCCGCAGTGTCTAAAGTCTACATGATCTCGAGTACTGTGTCGTCAAAGATCCTTCGCGCTATCGCCCAAAAAGAGGGCTTCAATTTTGAGGAAACATTGACGGGTTTCAAGTGGATCGCCAACAAGGCCTACGACCTGATGCAGCAGGGTAACGAGGTGGTCTTTGCATTCGAGGAAGCCATTGGTAAGTGTTGTGTTGGATGTTGCCGTGCCTGGTTGTGTGACTTGGGCCATTTCATCCATTTTGCGTGGTGCAGGTTTCATGTGTGGGACAACTGTGCTGGACAAGGACGGTATTGGCGCGTTCAGTGCTGTCTGCGAGATGACCTCCCACCTCTACGGCTCGAATGTCACCCTCGTCCAGCAGCTGGACAAAATCTTCGAGATGTAAGTGCGCACGCACCTAGTTGAGCACTCTGTGGGTTTGATTTGTGACTATTTTGGCGGTTCCTGGTTGTGGAAGCGAACAATTTTAGTTCAGGTTTCCGGTAGCACAGACCCCGCTGCGAACCAGCTAACCTCCTGTGCGTTTGGCGGTTGCAAGCGTTAGCCTTTCTTTTAACGCGATAATCCCTGAATCGCGTGAGCGATTAAGCTTGTCGCCTGTTGCCGTAGTTCACACCGAAGCTTAATCGACTGACACGCTTTTCAGAGCAACGAGGTTCGGCCAAACCTTGGACTAATGCTCTGACACCTACGCCACAGTGTGGTGGTTCAGTCGTTTCCTTTTCGATTCCTGTAAATTTTTAAGTGTTAGGTGGAAGAAATCACTTCTGCTAGGGTTCGAGTCCCGGCAGATCGATTTTTCTCAAAAAATCGATGTAAATACGCTGCCTTAGTCGACGTGCGTAATTGTCCTCTTTCTTTTACTCAGCTATGGCAAGCATGTATCGAACAACGGCTACTACTTCTGCTACGAGCCCCCCAAGATCGTCAAGATGTTCGACCGTTTGCGTCACATGCCCGAGACCGGACACTACCCAATAGCCTGCGGCCGTTTCAAGGTCTCCGGTGTGCGCGATCTAACCGTTGACTATGACAGCTCCTACCCGGACAAAAAAGCCGTGAGTTTTATTGGCTACAGTTGTGATAGTTTCACAGGTTGCTGTGTCAAGCGGGATATCATAACAAGCATGCAAATAAAAATAAGCAATTAGACTGAGTACTAAATGAGAGACCATAATTAGTTGGTGTCTAGTGACGTGTCAGGCACGTGGACCATGCTTGTTTAACTATGCCAACATGAATTTAATCGGCCAAGCCATTAAATCCAATTGTACGTAGCTACATTGATACACTCTATGCTTCTAGAATCTACCTTAATTGACTTCTCTGTTTTGAATGTGATTAAATTTTTGTCCGGATTATTGGCTCTGACCCTTTGGCATAATATGATTGACAAATCTCGTGAGCAATTAAACGAAACAGCAATTTATGGCCGATTAGAGTTTGAGGTCACCGGACTGCTCACCCCTCCAGCCAATCAGATTCGCGTCGACGGTTGTTATGGCACTGATTTGTCCTGTTTACGCAAAAGCCCATCCGCAAGGCAAAAATTAGTCGCAGTATGGGCTGTCGTGGAGCTTATTCCTGTTGTTTATTTTGTGTTCATCTCGCGCGCCAAACCTGGCCCAATCGACGCGTGGCTTTATCGTTCCCGCGCTCACTGCAAGACAAAAGTTCTTTTCACAAGCGTGATTGCTTCGTCGGGATGTCTAGTATGTCTCAAATAAGATCCAAATAACGTAGGTAGGAATAAGTAACCATTGACGCGGTTATTGGAGGAAGGAGTTCATTACTAACGCGTCTGGAGTTGTTAGACTTGAAAAGACACCCTTTCGATGGCTTTTCTGGAAGACCGCTGCAATTTTGCGTGCGTGCGTTGTTGATAAGTTGTGCGTCAGTAGGAAGGGTTGTTTGTCGATGCCTAGACAGTGTATTTCAAGCCCCTCCTTCCAATTCCTTTCCAGCGGCTACCCGTGAGCACGTCGAGCCAGATGATAACCTTCAGCTTCGACAACGGCGTCATTCTTACCCTGCGCACCAGTGGCACGGAACCCAAGATTAAGTACTACTCTGAGCTCTGCGCAAAACCGGGGGACAAGTAAGCGCCATCAATCTGTTATCGCCATTTTTTCTGGAATTTTCGATTTAAAATTAGCACATGCCTGTATGTCATTCCGCAGAATGCTTGCCACACACACACACACAGGCACACGTTTGCACTTTAGTTTCTCGTGGAAATGCAGTCTATTGTGAATGCAACTGGAATCTTTACTGGGCTTTATTTTGTGTTGTTGTAGGCGCTCGACAGCTGAACTGGAGGCGGAGCTGGCTGAACTCATTGGCATCATGGTGGAGGAGTTCTACCAGCCAAAGTTGAATGGTTTCACGCCGAGGTCCGATTGAGACATTCCTGCGTCCTCATCGTCTTAGTTTCCACCATTTGTAGCTTTCGTGAACAATCGTGTCTGACTAGTCCCTATTTGACATGTGGCCATTTCGGCCTTGTGCTAAATACATTTCTAAGTGGGTGTTTCCTCTGCCTTTGACTGGGTTGATGCGGACTTCAAAAAAATGCCATTCAAAGGAATCTTGATTGTGGGCTTGCAACTAATCACAGTGTAAACGCAAATAGATACCTGTAGATTTCAACAAACCAAGTGCATTCATTGGTTTCATCTGCGAAGTGATTTCCATGCTGCTCTTAGATTTATTATTGGGTAAATTTTCTGAAAACTAACAGGTATTCTGTGCATCAGTCTAAACCCGCATGCTTCCTGTGTTGTTTTTCACACTAAGGTCACTCTAAATCGTCAAAGCTTAATAACCTCGAAAAAGCTGGATTCTTCACAGATGTACGACGATTGTGATTGGCTGATCAACAACCAATGCAATGCGAGTTACCTCGTCGTCTGACCTATTGCCATAAGGCATGCCCACGATGCCAGAATGTCTACGTGTGGCTTTTGTTGAAATTTCCTCTGCGATGTGGGAATATTACGGTTTTCATACTGTGTAAGGACGTTTTGACAGGCAGTACACAAAAAGGAATCCACCATGTTGAGGAGTCGTGAAAAAGAAAGAAATATTAGGTGCATCAGGTGCCATTTTTAATTTATTTAATATTAAAAATGGCGGACGGCGAGCTTAATCTTGCAAATATTGTCTATCGATTGTTGTCACCTTGCAACATGATTAGCCTGGTCAGATTTTTCATTAGTTATCTGGGGAGTTTCCAAGACTTTGTAGTCAAGGGCACCCGTGATGTGACATCAGATACCTTCTGTACAAACTAGGTCCTGCCCCAAATAATTTTCAGGCATTATTTGTGAATTTCACAAATATCAGTTATTTAACGGCATGAATACTTTGATGACCTTGGATGAGAGTTACAATTTCCTTTAAGAGTTAAATTCACCACCCCAGAGTGTTATGTAAATGATTAAAATCGCAAGTGTTTATGCAGTCAAAAGAATTTGCGGCAGACGCCTTCACGACCCTTGACTTATGCAGGCATCGTTAAGTGGCAGTTGAAATTTATTGTTGTGTTGAAATTCCATCCTGTGTTGGCATGGTTCTCACACTTCGTGGCAGGTGGAATTAAGAATCTGACTGTCGTCCTTAAGGCGGTTGCAATTTGGAATCCACAAACTCGAAGAAAAATAATTGCAAACACAACTTTCTACCTATTTTTTGTAAGTACACACAAAACTGGACCTTCACCGATTGCCATTTAGATTGTAGAAAATCTTCTTCCGTCACATTTTGCAGAAATGGATTTTGCTTTTTTCGGTCAACATAAACTGACAAACGGCCGGTCGAAGGTTCCGTTTTTCAAACTAAGCGGTCCAATTTGTAAGAAAAAAACGCTTGTTTGTGGGGGGGGGGACAAACGCTAATGCATTTCTCACATGAAATTAATGAGTCATTTGAAGAGATTTTATCTGACAGCCAGCATCCCCCTGTCTGCCGAGAGGTGACTGCGTCATGTGATTAGTCGCCAACTGAATGTGATTGGTTGTCTGGTGAGGGAAACTGCCTTCGATCGACCAATAAACACGTGCCTTAGTTTAAATGCAAGCCTTCTATTTCAATAATTAATCCTAAACCCAACGGTGGTGGTGGTGGTGGTGGTGGTGGTGGTGGTGGTGGTGGTGGTGGTGGTGGTGGT